ACTCCCACACCCCACTTCTGTCTCTCTCTGGCAAGTACATGTGCCCTCTTGCAAATTTAGGGGGAAATATAAAAGTTAAAAAAGGTAAAAGAATACAGCTCTTCAGTGCAACTGGTATGACATTAAAAGTATATACGATAATTCAGATGAACTTCTATGAAAAAAGTTACTTATACACTACAGAAAAAAAAAATCACTAACAAGCTTGAATGCACAGCAGTAAAAAAATCCTGAATGAAACACACAGAACAAAAGAACCTGGGGGACCGGGCTCACGCCCCGGTGCGCAGCCACGCCACCGATCGGCCGGCCCCCCTCCAGGGGGCCCGCGGCTCGGGGCTCATGCCCCGGCGTTCAGCTGCCTCTCCAGGGCCGGCATGTGGCCTTTGGACCAGCAAGCTGAAGCGGAAAACAAGGTCTGAGAACTTGCAACTTGAGAAGATGATGGTTACCAGCCCTGCATTGCCTCAGGGAAGAACAGGAACTACTCTACCATTCTTGAAGTGAAGGTACTTAATGAGAATAGGACAGTGTGGAATGGGGTAAGTGAAGAGAAGAGGATAGAGAAAGATAGCAAGTGAGCAATAGAGAGACAGGACGTCAGTGAGAAACAGATAGGGTTTATTAACTGTTGATGATGACATGTATAGAATTCTCAACTGGATTGGTCTGAGAAGTGTTTCATGATGGGCAAAGTATTTTTACAAGCAAAACGAGAAATAGCAATTGACTGTTTTATAAAAATAATTAGAATAATAAAGATAATGATTGGGGAAAACAGAAAAGATATGGAATGTTGAAGTGGGGAGATTAATGTCTCTGTACTGACTGACGTGCATGGCATTCCCTTTTGAAGAAACAATGTAATACACTGTAAAGTTATATGTAATCCAATGTAATATGAAGAAGATATGATGATAAAAAATTAAAAAAAATAAATAAGTAAAATAAATAAATAAATAAATAAATAAATAAAAAAGAACTGGGGGGACCAGCAGTTAGCGTAATGGCTATGTTGCTGGACTCCCATGTAGCCGACCGTGGTTCAAGTCCTGGCTTAAACTCACGCCGGGCACGTGTGCATGCGTGCCCAAGATCCTGAGAGGAGAATGGAGGAGAAGGGATTACAGCGTGGCCATGCCCCCTGGTGGGTGATTTCTCGCTTTCTGTCCCTTTGACTCTCTTTCTGGAGAGCGCACATGCCCTATAGCACAAACCTCTAAAAATAAAGAACTGGGGAAACTGAACACGCATCAGTGAGCTGTGGGGAAATGCCGCATGGCTCAATACATACTGGGTCATCGGAAAGTCATGCTGCAGTTTTACATAGAAAAACAGAAAAAATACATCATGACTTTTCCGCAAGCCCAGTATATAACTGGAGTCTTCAAAGGAGAGGTGGGGAGGACAAAACATAACAAAACAAAAAATCAAAGAAATGGTCAACATTTTCCCAAATCGAATTAAAACCTGTAAGTCAGAGCCAGCCCGGTGCTGTGATGGTTAAGGCAGAGGGATTCCACGTGGTCCACTGCATAGTTGAGTCCTTTACCCGGTGGCTTGAAAAGACTCCAGCACGTGAGCATGTGTGCCCCAAGTCCCCAAAGGAGAATGGAGGAGAAGGGACTGTAGCATGGCCTCCTCGTGGAGGATGATTTCTCAACCGCTCCCACTCCAGTAAGCGCCTGCACTCCATAGCAAATCTAAATAAAAAATTACAAATCAGGGCCAGACTATGGCATGGCGGTTAAGGGGGCTGATCCCACATGGCCAAATGTGCAGTCTGAATACTAAACTCAGCAGCTTGAGGAGCACACCAGGAGTGTGTGTATGTGTATCTAAAATCCCAAAATGAGAGATGAAAGAGAAAGGATTATGGCATGGCCATCCCCCATGGAGGATTCTTTCTCACTTCTCTCCTTCTCTCTGTCTCTCTCTGGCAAGCATATGCCCTCTAGCAGATTAATAAACAAACAAATAAAAACTTAACCCTGGAGCCAGCATGTGGCATGAGAAAGGTGCTGGATCCCCACACTGCCAACCACGATTCAAGTTCCAGACCTAGCAGCTTAAAAATCATGCCAAGCAGTGCCCAAAATCCCAAGAGGAGAATGGAGAAGAGATTATGGCATGGCCATCCCCCTTGGGGGGTTATTTCTCACTTTCTCTCTCTTTGTCTCTCTCTCTGGTAAGCACACACACCCTACAGCAAAAACCTAAAAAAAAATGTTAATCCATATCTTTAAGACTTAACACATCACAAGCACAAGAATTCTGTAGAAAACAAAGCATATAAGCAAACTGCTTGCAGCCAGTGTTAAACAGAAAATCTTTCAAAGCAGTCATTGAAAAAAGGCATTGTACAGAGAGAAAACAAAGGCAAAAATGACAGCAGACGTCTCAGAAAAAAACCCAAGCCAAAAGACAGTGGGACATCATCTTTAAAGCCATAAGAGCTCAGTGACTCAGTGGTTAAGGGATCTGTATCTCACTTGGCTGACAGCGGTTCAAATCTTGGTCCCAGTAGTTTGACAAACATGCCAAGCACACACATATATGCTTGCCCAAAAATCTGACAGGAAGGAGGAATGGAAGAAAGGGATTATGGTGTAACCACATCCCTACTGGGGGATCCTTTCTCTTTCTCTGGTGAGTACACACATCCTCTGGTAAAAATAAAGTAACAAGAGAAAAAAATGATCGACTTAGAACATGTCTTCCAAAAGAATAACTTTTCAGCCATATGAAAGTAGAAAGAATTCATCAACAACAGCCTAACACTACTATTGATGTTAAAGAAAGTCCTCCAGACAGAAGGAAAACGATATCAGATGGAAGTATGAATCTACCCAGAAGAATGATTAAGCCCAGAAATGGTAAATATACAACTCTTATTTTCTTATTTTTTAAACTTCTTTAAAATATAATTGACTATTTAAAACAAAAATGCTGGGACCAGCAGATGGCATAATGGTTATGTTGTTGGATTCCCATGTTGTCGACCGCAGTTCAAGTCCTGAACCCAGGGGCTTAAAACTCACACCAGGCACATGTGCATGTGTGCCCAAAATCAAAAGAGAAGAATGGAGGAGAGGGAATTACATCTTGGCCATCCCCCTGGGAGGTGACTTCTCATTCTCTTTCTCTCTCTCCAGCAAGCTCACACACCCTATAGCAAAAATTTCTCTAAAAATAAATAAGTAAAGCTGGGAACCAGCAGTTGGCGTAATGGCTATGTCACTGGACTCCCACGTAGTCGACTGAGGTTCACGTCCCGGATTCGGTGGCTTAAAACTCACGCCGGGCACATGTGCGTGCGTGCCCAAGAGCCCGAGAGGAGAATGGAGGAGAAGGGATTGCGGCGTGACCATCCCCCCTGGAGGGGTGATTTCTCGCTTTCTGTCTCTATGTCTGTCTCTGTCTGTCTGGCGAGCACACGCGCCCTATAGCGAAAATCTCTCCAAAAAGAAAAAGAAAAAAAAATAAGTAAAGCAAAAGTGCTAACAATATAATGTGTAGCTTATAACATATGTGGAAATTAAATGTATGAGAGCAGTAGCACAAAGACCAACGGGATTAAAGTACACTATTATAAGGTTCTTACGCTACACACGAAGAGGAGTGATGTCACCTGAAGACAGTGTGACTAAGTTTAAAGATGTACAGTACCGGGGCCAGCAGATGGCGCGGTGGTTAAGGCTCTAGATTCCCACATGGCTGACCATGGTTCAAGTCCCAGACCTGCCAGCTTGCTTTCTTACTTTCCCTCTCTGTCTGTCTCTAGTGAGTGTACATGCCCTACTGCAAATTAAATAATAATAATAAATATTTTTTAAAGAAAGATGTGTACTATAAACCATAAGCAACTACTGGAAACAAAGATAAGCCAACAGGGCCAGCAGGTGGCATGGAGGTTTAGGTGCTGGATCCCATATAGTCATTGCGCAGTTCGAGTCCTGGACCCAGCCACTTGAAAATCACGGTGCGTGCAGGAGAATGAAGGAGAAAGGCATGACCACCCCCACTCCGGGCTGATTTCTTACTTTCTCTCTCTCTGTCTCTCTCTTTCTCTCTCTGACTCTGGCAGGTGCACATGTCTTGTGGCAAAAACAAACAAAATGTCAACAAAAGAAATAAAATAGAATTATTAAAAATTAACTCAGCTCAAAAGAACAGAGAGAAAAAGGAAAGACAAACAAGCATAAATGTGACAAACAGGAGAAGAAAAAGTCAGACAGCAGATTAAACCTAAACAATAATCTATAGTCAGATGAAATGTTTAAGTGGCCTGAACACTTCAATTAAAAGGCAGAGATTATCAGATTGGATAAAAAGCAAAATCAATTAAATACTGCCTACTAGAAATATAAGGACACAAGTAGGCTAAAACTAAAAGTATGGAAAGCGATACATCATGTTAACTGACTTGAAAGAGAGCTGAAGTAGCTGTATTAATACCAGACTAGTAAATTGTGAAGCAAAGAATATAATCAAGGATAAACATAATCTTTTAATAGTGATAAAAGACTCAATATAACAATTTTAAGCATTTCTGCACCCAATAAGTCCCAGCACAAACAAGAAAAAACCCAGTGACACCTTTCATGCTTAAAATGCAGTATCAGAATTCCTGAACCAAGGGGGCCAGCAGGTAGCATGGTGATTAAGGCACTGGACTCCGACATGGTTGACTGCAGTTCGAGTCCCAGACCTGGTGGCTTGCTTTCTCACTTTCCCTCTCTTCCTCTCTCTCTCTCTCTCTCTCTCTCTCTCTGGTCAAATTGAAAAAGAAGAATTTTACATAAAATTAAATGAATAGTTCTAAATTTTTTTTTTAATTTTAAAAAGCACTTCCTCATGTAATAAATAGTACACAATTTTACCAATAAAAATATTGTATATCCCAAAAAAGGTCAAAGGTAGTAGTGCATTGAACAGCTTATCAAAATATTTATGACTTCAGTAATGAAGCTAATCAAAGTAATCTAAAGCTGACTCACCTTTCGTATTGCCTGTCTCGTGGCAATGAAGCACCCCAGTGTCGAAAGTCCATGATTAACATAAGCAAAAGGACACAGGATATGAAGAAGAGTCCCAGGAATGTTTTTATGCCACTCGCTGACGTGGAAATGGGCTCACCGTGGGCACAGTGAAGTACCAAGAAGCTGGGCAGAGGTAGGAAAAACTGATCCTGAAATGAGACAAACATTGGGAATTCTCCACAACTAAAGCTTAAAAAGGCTTCTTAAATTGGGTAAAAGCCTATCTAATAAAGACAAAAATTTATGCCAAATCTAAATGTTCTTTAGTTTCCTTAGAAAAGGGGGTGAGCAGATGACTTAGTGGTTAAGGCGCTGGACTTCCACATGGCTGACAGCAGTTCAAGACCCAGACCCAGTGACTTGAAACTCATGGAAGGCACATGTGTGTGCATGCCCAAAATCCCAAGGAGACTGAGTAGAAGGGACTGCAGTGCTGTCATTGCTCCTGGGGGTGATTTCTCACTTTCTCTGTCTCCATCTCTCTCTCTGTGTTCCAGCGAGCACACACGCCCTAGAGCAAAAATCTCTGTTAAAAAAAATTAGGAGGGGCCAGCAGGTGGCGTGGTGGCTAAGGCGTCTGGATTCCCACATGGCTGACCACAGTTAGAGTCCTGGACCTGGCAGCTTGCTTTCTCACTTTCCTTCTCTCTGTCTCTCTCTGGTCAACTTTAAAAAAATAAAATATAAAAAATAATGACAATAAAATTAAATATTTTTTAAAAATTGGGAAAGGATCATATGATTCACTCTAAAAGTCAGAAAAGTCTTCTCTGATCCTTTTCCAAATTGCACTTCTGAATGCAATTTCAAGAATTAACCTCAGGAACCAGCAGTTAGCCTAATGGCTATGTCGCTGGACTCCCAGTGGACCGCGGTTCGTGTCCCAGACCTGGTGGCTTTAAACTCACGCCGGACGTGGGTGTGTGCGTGCCCAAGATCCCAAGAGGAGAATGGAGGAGAAGGGATTGCGGCGTGACCATCCCCCCGGGGGTGATTTCTCGCTTTCTGTCTCTATGTCTCTCTGTGTCTCTCTGGCGAGTGCACGCGCCCTATAGCGAAAAAAACCTCTCAAAAAAAAAAAAGAATTAACCTCAGGATCAGCTGATGGCATAATGGTTATACGGCTGGACTTCCATGTAGTCAACCACTGTTTGAGTACTGGACTCAGTGGTTTAAAACTCATGCTGGGCGCGTGTGCGTGCGTGCCCAAAATGGAGAAGGGACTGTGGTGCAGCCATCCTCTCCTGGGGGGGGGGGGATTTCTCAGTTCTGTCCACTTTCTGTCTGTCTCTATCTCTCTGGTGAGTGCACATGCCCTATAGCAAAAATCTCTTTCTAAAAAAAAAGAGAATTAATCTCATGTTAATAAAAAAATCAACCAATCTCCCTGGGCAACATCACAACATTAGAGGACCAGAGCGACTATAACATTCCCACCAAGAATGCTATCAAGAAACTGGATAGTCAGAAAATGGATTTAAATATTTTAATAGGTTATATAGGCACTTGTTTAAAAAAATAATAAATGAAAGAGTTTAACAGGACATATAGTGAAAAGTAAATCTTTTCCCCTGACCCCATCATCTCAGAGGTAGCCAATGCTACCAAGTTTCTAGGGACTTTTCCAGGAATATTTTATGATCACACAAACACAAATACATGATAATATCTGTGTGCGTGCGTGTGGGAGTGAGCTCTCCATGGCCCTGGTCTACAAATGGTAGTACGCAGTTCTTACTGCTCTTCATCATTCCCCAACTTACTATATTTAACAACTATCCCATATTGGTAATATATTACGGATGCACATAAATCTTTTTTAAAAGCTTCAGAGTATCATAATGTGTGGACAAGTGTATTCAACCGTGAAGTTCACTTTCAGTATTGATTCAGAAGGTCCTGGCTCTGCTTTTAAAGTTAATTGCAAAAAAAAAAAAAAAAAACGAAAAAGCACAAACACTATCTCTTTGTTTAACCTCTTCAAGGGACACAGGGCCTCACTCAGATGGAAATCTGAAGGCGCATTACAACCCAGCACTTTCCCGGAGCTGAGCCGGCAGACTGACTTCACCATCCAAGGGACGTGGGCTGGTGGCTATTACACGTCGTCAGTGCATCCACTTGACCAGGATGCAAAGTCCAGGGGCAGCCCAGGGCAAGCCTCACTCTAACCGCCTCCCAGGCCCCACAACCTGCCTGCCATCTTCCCCTGAGCTCCTACACGGAGAGATCAGTGTAGCCTTACCTAGCCATGGGTTCCCTTCGGTGGTCTCAACGCCTGTCACCTCCTTTTCCTTTTGCCCTGAGAAGGTGGCCTCCTTGTCCCAGGCATCTCCTAAGTCTGCAGCCTGGAAAGAGTCGGTTGGATTTTCAGGCTTACTCGGCAGGGATCACGAGACAAGACTTCCACAAAAATCCCAGGGATCCCACCCACTCCCCGGGCTCCTACTCCGCATCCATCTGCTCTTGTTCCTCAGGCCCAGCGGACCCTCCTCGGCATCCTGGGAGCTCGTCGTTCTCGTGGGCCAGCTCCGTCCTCGAGGAACCCGCCGTCCCCAGGCAGCGGGGTGGGGGGGTCCCCTTCCTCTCCGCGTTCCGGCCCCGCAGCTCCACGGCGCGCT